AACCCGGAAAAGAAGCCCCTTGGCTGCGCTCCAAAAAATAGCTAGAAAATTGCCCAAACTGGGCAAAATGGGTTATATTTCAGCGGCCTGAGCAACTTGGTCCCACCTCCTCCCAGCCCGGAGGCTCGCTGGAAGTGGGATTTTGCAGGGAAATCAGGAATACGAGGCATGGGTAGCATGGGGCTCACCGCTGCTGTTCTCAGAAACGTAATTAATTGCACCGTGAACTTTGAAACCATTAGCGTGACAGAAAGGAGTCACCTGGATGACAGTCGCGCCGCTCCCTGCTCCGGCTCCGGCGCGTTTCCAAGCGCCAGGACAACGGCTTTGCCGGCTCGCTGGAGCCGGCGCGACCGGCTTCCCGAGGGGCCGTTCCCAAGGGTGCATCCGTTTGCTAAGTCGCTGGGAAAGGGGGCTAATTTTGCAGGAACCATCAGGTCCTGCTGCTTTCCCTGTGAAAAACCCACGCTGCACACACGCGTGATGACAGTGCAGTCTCCTGCTATGGAAAAGGGCTTTTTTCTTTACATTCTTTTTAGGAATGTGGCACATGCCACCACACGCCAGCCTGTTCACACTAGGAAATGTGGGAGAAGCTCGGCCTTGGACTGGCAGCACACACCGGGAGCAATGAGATATCCCAGCAGTTATCCCATATCCTACCTGCGTTGGCCTAACATGCACAAGCGTTTTCCTCAATCGGATGAAGGGCATCGGGAATTCTTCCTTCTGGCCTAGGATAAATAGGGGTTGGATCCAGCACACAGTCATGAACACACTAAATTCTAATATCCATGGTGACAACACAGGGAAAAAAAATCCTTTCTGTAATAAAAATGGCACAATAGGATTTGCATTAAAACCAAAACCTCTCCCTTGGTTTCACCCAACCATTGCTCAGGGGAGTTTCATAGAGCAAAACATATCATCAAGCTACTAAAAATATCAGGGAATTTACCAGGATAGGTTATTAAATGCTTTTTAAAAAAGGTGTGCAATTCATTCCCAGTGGCCCATTTTTACTCAAATAAGCCACAGAAAAAATTGTATAAAAAGATTTATTGAAATTCATCAATGACAAACAGACATAAAACTCAAAGTTTGGCTCTTTTGGGAAAAAAAAAACTGTTGCAAATGTATTTATACAGATGAAATATTGACTAGGAAATACAAGTCACTTCTAAAGCTATTTTAAAGAGGGATATGAAAGTAAAACTGTACATTCACTAGGTATTTTCAGTCATTTTACTGACTTCCACTAGGTAAGAAAATACAATTTTGTATTAGTATCTCGTGCTTGAGTGTATGAAAAGAAACCTCCTACCCTACATGCTGAACTGCCTCCTGTACTTAGGTTTGTAAAAATTTTCAAAGTATATAGAACAAGTGGAAGTAGTTTCTCATCACTTAAAATTGACTAGGTGTTATATATTACAGACCAAAATAGTACACACCTTATTTAAAAGGGTTGAAACATTTTTTTTATTACAATTGTCAAATTAATTTCACTAGTAACTCAGGAATTAGGAACACTTTTTATATATATTTATATATATATTTAAATGCCTGCCATTTTCAGTGTGTTGGCTTTACCCTAGTCAAAAAAAAAAAAAAAAAAAAAAAAAGGAAAACCCCAAACAAACAAGAACAAAAAAACAAACAGAAAGGAGATAAAACACCACACAGGCAGAGGGGGGATTGCAAGGGCACCCCACAAACCAGATCCAAAAGAACACCCCCAAAAAAAAAAAAAAGAGAAATTTGGTCACTATTTACAAAGAGCAAAATAAAAGGTACCTACAGAAGCAGGGCAAGCATTGGCTGAAAATGGCAGTCATTCATGGACAGGCAACAAAGAAATCACTTTATCAATATGCCATTCTCACCCCTGTTGCTGTGGAGGGACGCGGTGCCTGGGCCTGCAGCAGCCCTAGGGATGCTGACGCTCCGGTTAGTGACTGGCAGCCGTGGAGAATCCCAACAGACGGATACTCAGCTGTCTCCGAACACGTGATGTGTATTTTGGGTATCATCCACTGATTGTAAATTTTTTATTTTTTCAGATGTCAAACTATCCACTCCCATAATAAGAAACAAATTACCACTTGGTTTATACTTACTATTGCAGTTACAGGGACTAAGAGAGGGACAAAAATAAAGAAAAAATTTTAAATGAATAGGAGGAGGAGTGGCAGTAAAAATAGTATTTTATTCCCTTGCCCACCCAGTCTGCTTCTCCCTCTCGTTCCCACAGCAACATTACAATCAGGAGAAAAAAAAAGAAAAAAAAAGTTGGAGGTGTGGGGAGGGGGGATACAGGGTAAAAACAGTCAAATCACAATAGGAAATTTTCAAAATAGGTTATTCAGTTTAGTCATCTTCATCCCCTTCGTCTTCAGGTTCTCGTTTTCTCTTCTGTCCCCTTTCTTCATCTGCAAAATAAAACACAACTTGAGTTATGTGAGTGCTTCCACATGTTACTCGGAAGCCAAACAAGTTCAACAGGCTTTTACTTGGCAGCTGGCTTGCCATCAAAGCAGCAAGAACACAAATGCAAGCTTGCCTTTACTATACTACACATTTTTATTTTTAAACTCTAGCAAAAACTGGATTACTGCCATACCAATTTCTTCTTCATCTTCGTCGTCATCTACCTCACCGTCGTTATAGCCTTCTTCATCCTCCTAGGCAGAAAAGAAAGGATTAAAAGTTGCTTTTCGTGCAGCACCTTTCACAATTTGACAACATCCAACAGCATTTTACAACAGGGAA